AGCTGATTTATTTTAGCTGTTGCACAACGTGAAACATGAAGGTGATTGTTTTCTTGTTATTTCACAAGGATTTAAATAACTTGAGCAGAAAAACTGATTTTAAAACAACTGTACACTCTAGGACACTATGACATTATACATTTGCCTTTGTTATCTTTCAGGAGAATTTCAACTTTTCAGTACAGTAATGCATATAATGACTTTAACGTTTGATTAAACAACAAAATCTTCAGAAAATTGCTCATTTGAAACATATCAAATCAAAACAGATATGTACAAAAAAGTGCATAATGATCTAATTCCTAATGCAGAATTTCTTATATTTTGTAAATCCAAATGGAAATCCTTTGAGAGAAGATGCGGCCCTAACCTGTCCCATATTGTTCACCAGTGACTTGGTAGATATGAAGATGGTTAACCTAAACCTAACCACTGACTAAAAGTGAAATTGAGGGGGAAAAGTAAAACAAAGGGCAATGCACAAAGCTTCAAACAGGATTCACATCATCTCTTGACTAAAGGACCTTTTATCCTGCTTTGATAGCTTCAGCCTTAAACAATACATAAACTTCCCTACCCACACTAAGGGCCATACTTTGGACCTAGTCTGTTGTTCTGGACTTACCCCCTCCATCTGTACAGCTGACGAGCTGCTAATTTCGGATCATCTACTTCTCTCCTTTAATGTTCACATGACTTTCTCTGTAATTAACAATCCCCGTATTATTTCTTTCCGGAATGTCAAGAATATAAATCTTGATATCCTTTCTTCTGCCCTCTCTAGCTGCTTGTCTCTTAACAATCTGGCTATTCAAGAGGATCTAGTATTTTATTATAATCATAGCCTCAGTAGTATTTTGAATTCTCTTGCTCCACAAAAAACCAGAACTGTACTCTTTTCTCGCTCTGCGCCCTGGTACACACCTGAACTCCGACTATTGAAAGCTGAAGGCCGACAGCTTGAACGTCTTTATAAGAAAACTGGCCTTACTATTCATAAGGGTATGTTTAATAACCATGTTCTGTTTTATCAGGAATGTATCAGTCAAACCAAATCTGCCTATTATTCTACCATTTTCTGCTCAAGTGAGAACTCCACCAAGACCCTATTCTCATTATTCAACTCCTTTAACAGGCCACCTGATTCTCTGCCCGCTCATCTCTATTCATCTAACTTCTGCGATGCTCTAATGCTATTCTTCACTGAAAAAATTCATAAAATACACCTAAACTTGGACCCTAATGCTCCATGTAGCTCCTCTGTCTTAACTCCACCCCCTTCTCACTTCCTCTCTGTTTTTCAACTTCCGTCTTTAACTGATATTGCTGATCTCATCCACAAATTAGAGCCTTCTACCTGCCAGCTTGATCCTATCCCCACTGTCCTTGTCAAAGCCTGTTTACCCCCTCTCCTTCCCCTCATATCTGCTATTATTCACTCACCACTGGAACTGTTCCTGCTTCCTTCAAAGTTGCTGCTATTACCCCAATCCTGAAAAAAACAGGTCTAGATCCCAACAACTTTAACAATTTCCGTCCTATCTCCAATCTACCATTCCTCTCAAAAATTCTTAAAAAAATAGTTGCTTCACAAGTCCATCTACAGTACACCTAACTGATAATAACCTTTACGAACAGTTCCAGTCTGGCTTCCGTCCTCTGCATAGCACCGAAACTGCTCTTATAAAAATGACAAACGACCTTCTTATGGCAGCTGATTCTGGTCTCCTCTCCATCCTTATTCTCCTTGATCTGAGTGCAGCCTTTGACACCATCTCCCATCCCATTCTTCTTAGCAGATTAGCTTCTATTTGTCTCTCTCATACTCCATTAGCCTGGTTTAAATCATACCTGTCTGACTGCACTCAGTTCATTCAATTAAAATCCTTCACTTCTCAGCCTTCTCCTCTATCTACTGGGGTGCCGCAGGGATCTGTCCTCGGGCCCCTTCTTTTCATCCTTTACCTTCTTCAACTCGGACATATTTTTCGTAAATATAATATTCAGTTCCACTGCTACACCGATGACACCCAGCTCTATCTCTCTACCAAACCTGACTCTACTCTTCCTCCACCCTCCCTTATCCTCTGCTTAGCTGAACTCAATTCCTGGTTCTCCTCCAACTTCCTTAAACTCAACAGCAAAAAATCAGAACTTCTCCTGGTCGGCACTAAAAGACTGCTATCCAGAATTAACAATTTCTCTCTCACCATCAATAATTGGCTGGTCCCTGTCTCTCCCTCTGTGAAAAGCTTGGGTGTCATTCTCGATAGCACATTATCCTTTAATTCACATATCAGTAATGTCACACGTGCAGCATATTTTCAACTCCGTAATATCAATCGCCTCCGCCCTTTCTTCACTCCTCATGCCACTGCCATTCTCGCCCATAATCTTGTTATCTCGCGAATTGATTACTGTAACTCACTATTATTTGGCCTTACACAAAAATCTATTAACAAGCTGCAACGTGTCCAGAACTCTGCTGCCCGTATTATTACTAGGACTTCTTCTACCCACCACATCTCCCCCATCCTGAAGCAGCTTCACTGGCTCCCGGTTAAATTTCGCATCCATTTTAAAGTAATCCTTTATACATTTAAGGCTATTCATTCTCTCACTCCACCATACCTCTCCGATTTAGTACAGATGAACTTCCCATCCCGGTGCCTCAGATCTTCATCTTCTCTTTCTCTCTCTGTTCCTTCCGCTCGTCTGATTGCAATGGGGGGCGGGGCTTTTAGTTGCTCTGCCCCTCGACTTTGGAATTCCTTACCCCCTGACCTCAGAAATATTATAATAATATAATATTATAACAATATTATCATTCCCTCTTTTTAAGTGCACCCTCAAAACTCATCTGTTTAAAATTGCTTATGTTTAAACCTCTGTATGCTCTAACTTTTATCTGTTATTCTTATTATTGTGTATATTTCCAGTTTCTGTGTTTTTATCTGTTGTACAGTGTCCTTGGGTACTTTGAAAGGCGCTATTTTTAAATAAAATGTATTATTATTATTATTATTAAAGGAGGCATGAAAGCCAAAAGACTGCATGATGGAGAAACACGAATGGCATTTCACCCAATAGTTACCACTTTTTTGATTGCCTTGGATGTTCCTCATTGAATAAACTTTTTTGACCTCATTTAAACAGAAAATGACATTTAATCCTCTGCTTGTTATCTCAACTACCCTCGTGTTCGTCATATGTTGCACTTTTTTAAGTTAAACATTCTGCTCTGCTTGTTTACTGAAAGCTACGTTCTAACTAGATACTTCTCAATCATCATGTCATCATAAAACTTTTGTGTAGTTAATTAGCATGAACCAAAATTCTAATTCTTCCAGCTGCTCCTTTTACAGTTCATCACAGCAGATCCTCTGCCTCCATCTTACACCACCTTAAGCATCCTCCTCTGTCACACCCTCTGCTTGTCCTCACCTGCTATATACACAAATCTTATAGCATTTTAAGTCTGTTCTGACTATTGTCAATTTTGTACATTTTTTGTTCAGCATGGTGGTTAGTGTGCTGACCCTTTAAGAGAAAGGCATGGCCCATGCGGACAGGAGACGTGTCAGAAAAACTCAGACAATCGACTTAACATGTGTTGTGAAAGGTTCATAAAAAGACATTCCCTGTGAGTATGCATTATTGCTTGGCACTTTATGTCAATTAATGGCAGTTACTTACATGCTGTATTACGCAGGCTAATTTATGGTTTAGGTATTTAGGTATTTATTTATTTATTGTCATTGTCAAGAACAATGAAATTGCGTTTGGGGCTTCCATACAACCCCAAAAAAAAAAGAAGAAAATAATAAATACCCCTTTGTAGGCAGTTATTGGCTGTCAGCATAAGCACATGGTCATGCCGCTTGTTAAGTAACTATTTTAGTTTGTCACTCATATACACTGTATTTTGTTGTTACAGTTTCACACCTGCCATATAAAGCGAAGTCTAAACCCACACTAGCGTCAGTGACTTTTGTGTGGAGGTGTTTAACTCCTGGAAAGTAGAAAGTGGTTCCACGAGGCCAGTACGAAGTCAACCAGAAAACCCAGGTTGACCTCTCTGACACAATCCCAGCAAAACCTGTTGAAAATTACACAAGTGCTTCATTGTAGATTCTCAGTTTCCATTTATTTTAATTCTGTGTGTACGCAGTGTGTCTGTATGGTATGCAGGGGACACTAATGGGAACAGGAAGGCTGCGCAGAGGGTAACTAACACAACCCAAAAAATGATTGTCTGCTCTCTGCCACCCTGGAGGCCATTGCCAGATCCTCCTGTCTCAGGTAAACCAGGGCCCTCACAGGTGAACCCGCCCACCACCTGTTTGACCCGCTGCTCTCTGGTCTGTGCCTCAGGTCAATCAGGTCCTACACCTCCAGACTCACTAACAGCTTCTTCCCCTTGGTCATTCAGACTGTTAACAAACACTATTCCCCCACACCCCAGCCCTGCCCACCCACGTTAATCTGAGCCATGGTCAGATTAACCCTACATGACTCTATTCAGACCAAGTCTTGTCTTTGCACTACTTCCAAGCACTTTGCTCTCCACTGTGTGCCTTTCTATGTTTTGTATATGTATTCCTCTAGACTCTATATGTCTTTTCTGTTTGCTATTTATTCCTATTTATGTATTTTTTATACTCCTGCAGAGTGTAGCACCCATAATTTCACTGTACATGTACAATGACAATAAAGGGCTATTCTATTCTAAAGTAATTAACTTCCTTGAGGCATTAAGACATTCACTTTTTTTCATAGATGTAGAAAGGAAGACAAATCAGGTCATTCATTCTGAAATTACAGGAGTTTGGGTCCATTCATCTTGACATTAATACAATTTGGTATCATTTATATATAAATCACAACAACAATTAATAAATAAATATTAATTAATAATATCAATAATATTAAAAAACTTTGTTGGGCTTTGTTCTGCCTCTTGTATGAGTATCCAGTATTTTTGGAACATTTACACTGCACTAGATTGTGAAGTGTTTAATGATGCTGCTGCGTAACTCTTTACTGACCAGTCCGTAGATAATGGGGTTGATGGCTGGTGGAACGATGATGAACAGAATGCTAAAGAATTTCTTTAGGTTTTCAGACACTGAAGGAAACCTGTAACTCACAATTATGATCACTGAGGCTATTTGGTAGAGCACGTACACGACGAGGTGAGAAGCACAGGTTTGAAAGGCCTTGCTGCGGATGCTGGTGTCGATGCTGTGTTTTAGAGATACTTGCAGGATCCTGATGTAGGAAAAAGCAATGATAAGGAAGATCCCTGTACTCACAGTCCAGGTCATGGCCAGACCTACCGAATAAAAAGAGACAACTGTCCTTTCAATCAAGTATTACATGTCCCCATACCCATGTGGTTTAATTGTTCCCTCAGTTAAAATCTGTTTATATCTGGAAAAAACAGCTAATAAATGCTTGAGATCTCACTGTGGGGACAAGCTTTTCTTTAAAAAAAAAAACCATGACAACACAATCAGTTTAATTCCTTTCTCTAAAAATCCAACAAAACACAGAAGTTGCTTGTACAACAGTATAAAGTGGAGACAATGGTTTGCAATACTGCACTCATCATGTTAACTATTGAGGGAGAGAAAAAAAATTAAACTGTGAAACTAAGGCTATGAATCAAGCTGATTTGAAGCTGATAAAATGTTCAACCATCTACTGCATACACTTAGGACTGACCATAGATGTCACTGGCAGGGGTGGGAATGCAGGCCAGGCCTAGGATACCCCGGTTGCTGCAGTAAACATGCAGAATGACTCTGCCACACAATGGGACATTCATGTGGAAGCTGAAGAGCACAGCAATAGGCAGCAGAGCAAGCAACCAGGCCAGGGCGCAGCAGGAGTGCAGCCAAGCCGAGGTCATGATAGCGTGATACCTGAGAGGCTCACAGACTGCAATGTACCTGCACAGAGAAATAGAAGGGGCATTTATACTAAAAGATATGTAGTAGGTTTTAATTTAGAAGTTTTGTTAATGAAAAAAAAAAATTTAAGTCTTTTCAAAATCCTGTGCTTTCTCATTTCTTTGGAAAAAAAAACTTTTTCTTACAATTCTACAAACAAAAAGAAGATAAAAACAGAAGAAGAACAGACGAAAAGAACACAATGCTGACATACAGCTAAAGGTTGGAGACATAATCCATTATCAATTCAAACAGCAGCATCAAAAAGGAAAGTTCGATTTTCTTTTTTCTTTGATTTTTACGTTGAGCTGATAGTTTTATTACCTGTCGTAGGCCATCACACCCAGAATAGCCTGCACTGCTAGCCCATATGTGTGCACAGAAAAGGCCTGGGCAATGGCTGGGATGTATGCAATCCTCTTCTGCCCCATCAAGAAGTGCATCATGAGACCAGGCAGCACAGCTGTGGACCCCAAAAGATCACAGACTAGCAGGTGGCACACCATTACAAACATGGGTCTGTGCAGGTTCTTGTCAATAACAATCACGGATACTATGACACCATTGCCCAGCAACACCAACATGTAGGTAAACAGAGCCAGGAAGAACAGTAAAGGGCCAAACCCTGGAGGTATATAGAAGCCTTCAAGTTCAAACACAATCGGCTGTTTGAGAGGAGTCGCCATTGTTAGGTTCTCCATCCACAACAGCTCGTTTCTGCAAAACACATCAAAACTCAAGAAACAGGTAACACAAACCAGACAAAGCTTTTAGATTCATAGATACATGTTTTAGTAAAATGTAATAAAAGATTTTTTAAAAAGCTTTGAATTAATACACCACAAGATCTGGAATCAAAGAAGAGAATGACAGACAATGTCTAATGATCAAAAACTCGAAAAGCTTGAATTATACTTTTTTATCTTCTTATCCTTCTGCCTTCTCGTCTGCGTGCTGAAGTTGCTCTGACTGTTTGAGGAAACTGTGCTGTGCTTTTATTAATTTGCAGATCGTTTCTCATTCATGTTTACCACTGAAACATCAGCCTCCATCCTGGATACAACCAATAAGCTCTGTGCCTGAAGTGCCACAAACTGCAGTTCCTTGCATGGCCATTTGATTCTGGCTCCAGAATCAGTCACTCAAAGCTTCCATGTTAAAATGTCCATCTATGCAATAGAAAGCAACATGTAATGAACCAGAGATTCATATAAAGTTTTTGGACCCAAATGCAGACTCATAACATGCAAATGACTATTTACAATAATTTATTTACTCACAAACTTGAGCTCAGAATCACAACACAACTTCAGATGACAAGCATCGCCAGGGCAAGGGATCATCAGAGATTGCTGCTGGAGAATGATTAGTGACGGGCAACAGAGGGAATGATGGAGCAGCAACTCTGCAACAAAGGAAAGAGGGGTTACTGGACAAGAAGGCAAGGAAATGGCTAAAGATGAGTACTGATTGTCGTGGAGTTGGTGGGAGTGTGTTATGTACAGATTGGACGCAGGTCCTGTTCCAGAGATTCCAGAGGGGGTCCAGGGGAGGCACGATGGGCAGGAGGGCAGACAGATAAGCGGGATGAATATTGAAACCTCTGCTGTAGACAGACCTTAGAAGTGGAAGCAACCTGAACCAGCACTGGAGAGTAACAGGGCAGGAGGAGAATCCGAAGGAACTGAAAACAGGAGTAAGACACAAAGAGGCAACGGTAGACACGGGTGAAATGAGCATATCAAATCAAATCACTTTTATTGTCACGTCACATGTGCAGGTACATTGGTACAGCACATGTGAGTGAAATTCTTGTGTGCGAGCTTCACAAGCAACAGAGTTGTGCAAAATACAATAATGTAAACAAGCAAAATACAAGAATGGCTACATCTGAAACTAATAAATATATGTACAATATATAATAGTATATGCTGAGAACAAAAGAGTTACTACCAAATGTAGCAGGATGAACTGGCAAAGAGTAGGAGGCAGCACTGATTTAACCCTCTGGGGTCGACGGTTGCAATTCACATGACCAATTTAAGACAACACTGCAACAAGATGCAGTGACCCAGAGTCTCCATTTCACTTTGTGTTAAAGTGCAGACTTCAAACTACATACCGGTTTCAAATTGTGTTGATAGGCCATGTAACACCAGAGCAGTTATGAAAAATGTAAGCTGTGTTTCTTCCTAAATACTATTGTCGCATTTCCTGCAGGAAAAAAAATGCATTTTCTAGCATACACTCTCTGCTATGCGTGTTAAAATGTATCATGTCAACCAATCAAAAAATTATATGGCAACATGCATAGCTGGACTGTGATTTCTCTTTCTTATGGACCGATGTTTTTTTTGTTTGTTTGTTTGTTGTTTTGTTTTTTTGTGTGGTATAAACAATGAAAGGTGGTGGATTGGCCAGATGCTGGCCGATGTGTAAAAATAACTCAGTTGTTTGCAGCGATGGGAATAACGGCGTTACTTTTTTCAGTAACGAGTAATCTAACTAATTACTATTCCTATCGTTACAAAGCCGTTACTGTTACCAACAAGAAATTGCGCTCCGTTACTATTTTTCAACAAACAGACGGTTGAAGCTGTGTTCAGCTTACAGCATCTTATATCAGTTGCACGGAAGTAGCTGTAAGTAATCTGGACGCTACGGCTTTAAGCAGCTGCGCTCCCACGGACGGTGATCATGATCACACTCTGGCACAACACCTGGATCTCAGGGGGCAAAACAATCACATGAGTGCTGCTGTTTGACTGAGGAAGAATAAAGTAGTCGTGGTCAATCACATGACCACTTACAGACAAAGCAACAAGGTGACATATACCAGTTTATAAACTGTGTGGCCACGTAAAACCAGAGTCATGATAAACAAGATATACGCTGCGTTTTTTCCTCAATAGTTTCATGTTTACTGTCTAAGGACAGCGCAGCGAGCACGCTCTGCTTATGAGCAAGAAATAAAAAAACAAAACATAAAACAGCCCGTTTGTGTTGGTGGAAAAATGCACCATGTCGACCAATCAAAAAATGATTTGGCAACATGACATTTGGTTGTTTAGGAAGAGGCGGAAGATTTAGGAGTGACGCGAGAGAGAGCGAGAGAGAGAAAAAGAGAGAGCGAGTTTTGAGATGTGAGAGATTTGTGACGTTTAGCGTGTTTGCAGTGTGTAGTTAATGTGTTGTGTTGTGTAGTTAGTGTGTAGTGTTGTGGATAGTTTTGTGTTGTGTGTCAGAACATTGAGGCGACTGCTGTCTCCAGGTAGAAACAGGAGTGATACACCTGCTGCTGTCAGACCTGCAGGTATCAGGCTGTGATGTTCTGCTTTATAGTGGACAGAAATATTTGGAGTGGCACAAGTTACAGTAAAAAATATCACTTTTTCTACTCGGATTTTATGTTTTTTGTCTGATTTTAGATCAGTTGTGTTAGTACAGTCAAAATGAAAACAAAGCTGTAAATTCAGACACGTGAGGCTGTGCTGAAAAGAATGAGACCAAACAAGGCAAATAAATAGTTTTTAAAGGTGAAATGTGGAGGAAACATCAGACGTAGTTAAAAATGGCCAATTATACCCTGGACCCCAGAGGGTTAAACATTTTTTAAAGTAACATAATAGTTACTTTTGAAGTAATTAATTACTTTTTAGAATCTTGTAACTCAGTTACTAACTCAGTTACTTTTTTGAAGCAGTAACTAGTAACTATAATTAATAACTTTTTCAAAGTAACTTGCCCAACACTGTTTGGTGCTGGCTTCTGCAGAGGCCAGCAGTTGGAAGCTTTTTGAAACAGGAGCCAACAGCAGATGAATGGAGAGGCAAGCCTTTATTTGTCTGGTGGCAGATGATGAGCATGAAAACTATGAAAAAACTATGACACACTACGAATCACTACGACAGACTGTGGTGAGGATAACAGACATCCTGACAATACACACTGCCTAAATACACACTAGGATGATTAGGGGGAGTGAAAACATATGAGGAAACAGCTGATACACATGAATGACGGGACAGGGGAAGTGAAACTGTGGCGTGGGTGTGGTCTCTGGCCAGCTGCAGAGGAGGGTGACGCAATGAGCTCCCGAAGCAGCGCAGGGGCGGGGTGAACAGGTGTGCTGGAATGTGAATGTGACTCTTTATATGTTCACAGTGACTGTCGGAGGGGAAGGAGAGCGGCCATGACAGCGGAGCGGGACTGTCTTTGTTCCATTGTAAAATCACACTAAAACCTAATGTCAAAATAAAGAAGTGCTGTCACCACGCCCGTGTCTTGTACGTGTGTAAAGGGTCCAACTTCACAGAAACTAAATACAATGAACAAAGAACACAAGATTCCTTCAAAATAAAACAGGAAACATGGAGAAAAATACAAAAAAAAAAACAGCGAAATAAAACTAAAATGCGCACAACACTGCGTCGCAGACCCAGTACCATGAAATTTTTTGTCTGAATTTCTTAGGGTGCCTGGGTCATCAACCCAGAGTTTTCAGTTTTGCGTTATTATTGAACTGATTTTTATATTATTTATCATTTTGTTTTGGTTTCTTTGTTAGAGTTGTGCTTTCTGGTTTCTCTCGCTGGTTCCCGTGTCTGCTGTATCCGCTTGTCAGTGATCACTGTCAGCCTAACCATCGGGAACCCTCACGTTAACCTTTATCAAGTGGAAAAAAGTTAGCTTTCATCCTCCAGCTTCACTGTGTTTATGCTAACATAGCTGTGTCGCTAGCAATCACGTAGCACATCATTATATAGCAGCTAGCCCAACTTCAGTAACCCTACAAACGTCACTGCTGTTTAGTTTTCTGTCTTCATTTATGTTGGAGGTGGCAGCAGAGCTGGTGTATCATGTTCAGGTGGAAACAATCTAACTTCCTAACTGTTAAATTTCATATATTCTGTTTTCATGGATGCCTGGATGTTACACCTGGTAAAACAGCCACACTGATCATTTTATTAAAGATGAAAGAATTTAGACAGTTTGTAACTCTCAGTAATGCTGCAGAGCTCCTTTGACTTTGGGACCTGCAGCGGAGTTTGGACCTGGAAACAGCTAATGACATCAAACTTAAAGACCGGATAGCATCTCTATTGCTTAATGCATAATTGTGTTGTGAATATTCATCCTTAATCTGTATAAATGCACATGCTTCAGAAAAATTATAGTAATTACAAAATGGTACATTTCAGGCTAGAATAGCAAAGGGGAAGCTGTCAGAGGAACGGAAGAGAAGGAGAGAAAACATTAACAGCCAGCCTGAGTTGAAGAAAGAGTTTCTCATAAAGTGAAAGATGGAGAAAAAGAGTGAAAAAGAGAAAAATAAAGAACATCAGTGATCTGAAAGGAAGAGAAAAAAGTCAGAAGAGAAGGTTTTGGAAACAAGCACAGAGACGAAAGGAGAGAAAGTCCAGCAGCGTCTAAACACAACCACAGAGAACTTTAGGAATCAGCAGCAGGCGGCTGCTTGCTGGTGAACTATTAAGATGCAGAACTTGACATGTGCAAAAACAGAATTGTTATGATGCGTCTTGTGATATTACAAAGGTTGTTAAGGTTTAATGGTCATTTTGAAAGAAATAATATCTTGTTTTCTACTAGTTTGTCACCACCGTCAGACGTTGTCAACTCCATAATATTGAGTTTTTGTTTACTTTTCTGTTTTGAAGAACCATAT